CATAGATAGGTCAACTTCAAAATCTGACCTAGGAAGGTCACGCTGGGTACCAATCGGCGCGTCATGACCACGCGAACGGTTTGGTACACTAACAACTAGTTAGCCCCATCATGTCGTGATTTATTGGCTAAAAACTGTTGATGACCTCACCTCACCTCAGATGATCCTTCCCGGTGCCCCTGTCAGTAAATGCCACCTGGGTGCTTACAGATAATCTGACGTAGGGGAGAGTGGGGCAAAGCGGCCACCCGGGGCAAAGCGGCCACCCATCGTTTTAGCCCTTCATAGCTGGCGTCAGTTCCAATTTATGGTTTCCAATTATACTTCTCTTCACGGTCGTTCGAATGAGCCAGACCGGGGTTTCAGGCCCATCACCATTGTTCTGTGAAACACGAAAAGCATTTCTTGCCAGGTTACCAACTATGTTTACAATTTTTAAATGTTATGTTATTCCATAACCGTTTGGAATTTTTATAAGCGTTCTTGTCCATGCATTGCATGGTTATCGTACATGTATTGTACCAATTTTAATGTTTTTTACCCCACTAATAGCTAAGCTGGAATATTTTTGTCTCGGACGGTATGCGCGGGGCAAAGTGGCCGGGGCAAAGTGGCCACCCCCCAATTGGCCAAAAGCTGCTTCCATCTGGATAAAAAACATTATTTATATTCAAATGTGTCGTCATGCATTCATCTTGGCCACTTTTCAGTTGCATGAGTTACCAAATAATGCAATTAAATGTTTTTTTTTTCATGAAAATCCTTTCTTTGTTTACCTACAGATGGAAGATGATAAAGTAAACATCCATCCTCGCTTAACCTTGTCACCATCAAATACCCTAGTCGTACACGAGGCAACTATTTTGTTTCTCATGTCGGGACTTGAGAAGACGCCGGTGGCCGCTTTGCCCCAGGGTATGGGGCAAAGTGGCCAATATGCATAGGTTTAAAGTTTTGTCAATATATTTCATATGTGAACGCCTTTGGAAATAAAACGCAGTTGAAATAAAAGGCAACTTAATAGGGATCACATTGGTATAGAAAGAATCTTTCCAAGTTTAAAAATCAAGCGTTGGCATCGTGAGAAGCGTTAGGGTGGCCGCTTTGCCCCACTCTCCCCTAATTCAGAAAGAATTGGGTGGTTTTGACTCGTTTTCTCGAAGCAGGACACAGTTCATTATATTTTCCAATAGGCTTGTCACGATTCCGACCTGACTGACGTCTGCAAGATTGAAACTATACGGTTATCAATTCTTTCTGTGTGAATGATGCCACGTTTACTTGCTGTAAGTAAAACATGGTTTCGTTAGTAAATTTTCCTAGGTCCAGGTGGTTTGCTTCATTTACGCCGTAGGTGAAACAAACAATCGATGGATAGGTATATAATGATTTCCCGGTCAAATAATTATTATGAGTTGTGCGAAGCATGGCTATGGGAATATCACCACGGTCTGATAAATAGTTTGGGTAATTGTATCCATCGTAAAAATACCAACACAGCCACAGGTATATAATTACATAAATGGGCTCCTGTGTTCATGCATTAACCCGCGCCCTGCTGGGGGGGGGGTGTTTGAACACCCCCCCCCCCCTTGTGGTCTTTCGCGAATATCTCAAAAACGGCGGCGCGGAGCGCCGCCGTTTTTGGTACACCTTATCATACATCAATTCTACACATGTTGTTAAACTTTCAGACCAAGGTCATACAAGGTCAGGTCACCAGGTCACTTGAAGTGACCTCACCTCATAAAAAGTTTCAATGTCTGTCATACCTACACCGAGTGACCGATCGCTTTGAAACTTTCAGCGATTGCTAAGAGCAATAGCATGAACAAAATGTATATCTCAGAATTTTGATATCGATGACCTAAGGTCAGGTCAATTTTGCGACCTCCCCATTATAAGTCAATGGGAGAAAATTGGAATGCGCCTCTTTTGGACGAAAGACATTATAAACACTTCCAAACACCGAATTACAAGTGGTTTAGACACACAGAACATGAAAATGGTGTCCGTGACCCTTGTTTATGCCCTGAGGTCATCTTAGGTCACGAATGGTATCTAACAGTTTTTCGCAAATAACTTTTGATAGAGGCATGCTAGAGCGATGAAAACGCCTTAGATGTGTTCAGTTCGACGATACGGATCGACTGATATGCATCATGACCCTTTCCGGTCAGGTCATGACCTTGACCTGAGGTCAAATTTTCAAGTTGACCTTTCAAGGTCAAGTTATAGTTAATTCGTGTTCCTCTCGTCATTCGATGCGTCTTGACGAGAGGAACACGATGCCGGTAAAAGTAAGCTCGTACAAGGCTTGGGTCAAAAGTTATTGCAGAAAAACTGTTTCCGAAAAAATCGGCTATTTTTGCAGTTTTTGCCCCCTGTAGGCAAAACCGTTGACGTTAGGTCAAATCTGAAAGAATTACTCAGAAAGGGCGTTAATAGGGCTATCGAATGCGCTTTTCCGCAGCGCTGTAGCTCTATCGGTTCCCGAGTTATGCGTTGGCTTCTTTGAAATTTTCGACATTCGACCTGGAAATCGGCGAAGTTTTGCCTTCAATGACCTCTGGTGACCTGACCTTTGACCTGACCAAAAAATTGACCGAAGTGATTTCGTCATTATTTTTGACGCTCTTTCGAACGCCGCCTTCCGCGTATCGCTACGTGGCCCAGGAGCCGAGTTACAAGGGGGGGGGGGGTGTTCAAACACCCCCCCCCCCCCAGCAGGGCGTGGAAATCCAGGACCCCCAGCCGGGCGCGGGTTAACCCGCGCCCTGCCGGGGGGGGGGTTAAACACCCCCTGCAGTTTTCCGTGAATATCTCAAAAACGGTGGCGCGGCACACTTTATCCTACATCATTTCTACATATATGTTGTGAAAATTTCAGACCCTGGTCACTTAAGGTCAGGTCACCAGGTCAGGTTAAATGACCTCACTTCATAAAAAGTTTCAATGTCTGCCAAAGCTACACGGAGTGACCAAACACTTTGAAACTTTCAGAGATGCAAATGCACAAGAGCGACAAAATGCAAAAATGTAGGTATGTCTTGGAATTTTGATATCGATGACATGAAGTCAGGTCAATTTTGCGACCTTAAATTGAAAGTCGCCTTTTTAGACGGAAGCCATTATAAACACTCTAAAACACTGAATTACTAGTATCTTTGACACACTGAACATGAAAATGGCACCCGTGACCCCTTTTTATAACCCTGAGGTCATCTCAGGTCACCAATGGTATCTGACTGTTTTTCGCGAATAACTTTTGATAGAGGCATGCTAGAGCGATGAATACACCTTAGTTGTGTTTGGCTCGACGATACGGATGGACTGATATGGAACTTAGCCCTTATCGGTCAGGTCATGACCTTGACCTGAGGCCAAATTTTCAAGTTGACCTTTCAAGGTCAATTGATAGATCATTCCACACGTCTTGACGAGAGGAACACGATGCTGGTAAAGGGAAGTTCGTGCAAATTTTGAGACGAAAGTTATTGCCGAAAACTGGTTTCCGACAATATCGGCTATTTTGGCAGTTTTTGCGGCCACTGCAGGTAAAACCGTTGACGACACAACCGTTGACGGCACCCGGCATGATTTCTCTGAGCGCATTTATACAAATAATTTGTCTACATAGGATAGGGCCTTCTGTTTACAGAGGACCTCCTCCCCTGTCCCTTCCTACAGTGGGCGGCGACGCGGTTGGGAGTCTATTCTGTACAGTTTCCTGAGTTCTCAGTTCTCTCTATAGTGAGAACTGAGAACTCTCTATAATAGAGAGTAGCTGGGAACAGAAGCCAGAAGGTAATTTGCTTACAGTGGGCCTCCACTCTACATATGTACTTAATATACGACGCTGTCTTGACTACCGGGGGCGTCCTGCCCACAGAGGGCCTCTTATCTACAGAGGGCTTCCTCTCTACAGATTGCCTCTTACGAGTATCTACAGAGGGCCTCCTCTCTGCTGAGGGTGTCTTTCTCTCCAGAGGGCCTCCTTTACAGAGGGCATCCTCTCTAGTCTCTACAGGGATCTCCTCTCTACAGAGGGTTTCCTATCTATGTAGGGCCTCCTCTCTTCAGAGTCTCGTCTCTACACAGGACCTCCTCTATACAGAGGACCTCATCTCTGCAAAGAGCCTCCTCTCTTCAGAGGGCCTTCACTCTACAGAGGGCCTCCTACCTACAGAGGACCTCCTTTCTCCTGAGGGAGTCCTCCTGTACAGAGGGCCTCCTCTCTTCAGACGATCTCCTCTCTACAGAGGGCCTCCTAGTCCTCTCTTCAAAGGGCCTTCTGATTTCAGACGGTTTCCTCTTTACAGAGGTTGGACGCTTGAGCCAAGCTGCTGCGTGCCCTAACTCTTCAACAACTCTTTACAGAGGGCCTGCTCTCTACAGAGGGCCTCCTTTTTACAGAGGGCCTCTTTTTTTAAAGAGGGCCTCTTTTTTACAGAGGGCCTCCTTTTAGAAGAGGGCCTCCTCTCTACAGGGGGTCTCCTCTCTAAGGGGGCCTCCTCTCTACACAGGGCCTCCTACCCACAGAGGGCCTCCTCTCTACTGAGGAGTCAGAGGGGCCCTAGCGGTCAGACACAGACACTAGTGGTTATTCACAGGAGATGAGAAGGGCCCTAGCTGTCACTTGTCAGGCTGGTCAGAGGGGCCTAATTGTTCTGACATCATTTTTTAGATTCCCGCGTGAATTTTGTTCGCCTTTGACGTGATTTTGGCCTTCGGCCCACGTTGGATTCAGGCCAAAAGGATTCAGGCCGACTGGGCCATGTTTGCCTGAATCCTTTCGGGGGGCCTCCTGAAAACCCCAAGGGAGGGGCGGGCACCCCCTCCGCCCCCGCCCCCCTTGGCTACGTCCCTGTACCAACCTGTCGCATTTTTTTGCGCATGAATAAAAAAAAATTATCCCATTTATTTAAAAAGTTCAAGATCACATTTTTAGGATATCATAGGCACACTCTTTGAACACATTTGGCCCATATTTGACTTACCTTAGAACTTGAAATGGCTGAAACTTCGGACGCCGGTGAAAACAGGGCGCCGGAGGGCATTTTAGTCACGTGACATTTGTAGGTTCTCCCCCTTCGTGTGCCTTATACATGCTAAACGTCACGTGTAAATTTCACGAACATTGATCAAATCGCCCCAGGCGCCCTGTTTTCACCGTCGTCCGAAACTTCGTACGATTCGGATAGCAAACAGCAAGACCTTCTTTGAATGAAGGGCCAAGGCCCCAATCAACCTTTGACCAGAATACTATACTATTTGACCAGAATTTATATTGTTCTCCTGTGCTAAAAAAATCCAATCGATAATGCAATAATCTTGGCAAAATGACCAAGGGATGTTAACAAATCCAGCAACGACCCCACACCACACAGACATGGCGACGGCGTTAAACATTCGAGCCCTGTTTTAGGACAGGTCGCTATTTCTCGCTAGTGCTCAGTTTCCATAGAAACGTGAAAGTAATTACCTAATTTGATGATGTTTCTATGGAAACACTCACTCAGTTTCCATGGGAAACTGAGCGGCGGCGGCGATAGTGGCGTACGTGAAACAGGATCAAGAATGTGTTCAGTAACAAATGCGCCAATATCCCTTGCGAAGCAGTAAAAAAACACCAGTGCTAAATTACACCTGCTTTTAGACTATATAAAATTACAGCTGTATTGATCCAAATTATTACACCAGCCTTTTCAGGAAAAGAATGATGTACATCAAACATATCCTTAATTACAAAATGGCAAAAACGCAAACATAAAAAACGGTGGGATGATATGACAGTGCAGTGGGGATCGTTGCTCTAACCAGTAACCATGCCTAATAGAGATGTCAATCGGATACCATCTTTTTGGTATACCATTACCGATACCAAACCAATACCAACTTGGTATTTGGTATTTCAGTCCTAATGTGTTTGGTATTTTGTTGGTATTTTGAACCCTTACTAATGTATAAGAGGCTAAGAACTTGGTAAAAAGTTGGTAGGTATTTCCCTCATCTTTCAAAGTTGGTTCGGTTTCGGTATTTCCCCACGGTTTTGGTTGGTATTTGGTTTGGTATCGGTATTCCGATTTTCTGTAATTGACATCACTAATGCCTACATACATAGTCAAATGCATGTAGTCAAGTGGCATGCATGAAAATGATACCTAAGAAATAAGAAAGGATTCATGAATCATGCGTGTACGTGTAGTAGGCCTCCTACTTGTTCATAAAAAGCAATATCATTAAAGTATTCGGTGCGTATTAAAGGCAAGATACAACATACAATCTGTTTTTTTTTTTTTGTCAAATAAACTCTGCTATTTTCCTTCTTGGTCATCGACACTCGACAGCCAAAATCGTTGGCCAACAGGGGCGTCGACGCGTAAGGAAAACTGGTCCGACTTTTTCTCGGGGGGCCCCCACCGGTGTCGCGAGGGCCCCGCGAGGCGCAGCAGGGCCCCCGCCAGCCGCAGCGGGGGCCCCCGTTGCCGCAGCAGGGGCCCCGTGGCCGCAGCAGGGGCCCCGTGGCCGCAGCAGGGGCCCCGTGGCCGCAGCAGGGCCCCCCGAGAGCCCCAACAGGGGCCCCCGCGGCCGCAGAAGGGGACCCCGCGGGCCGCAGCAGGGCCCCGCGGTGTCTAGCAGGGCCCCAGAGGCGCAGCAGGGCCCCCGCGGTCTCTAGCAGGGCCCCCCGAGCCGCAATAGGGCCCCGCGGTCTGCAGCAGGGGCCCCCGCGAGCCACAACAGGGCACCGCCTAGTCGAAAAAGTGGTCCGACTAGTCGGAAAAGTCGGACCGGTGTCGACGCCCCTGTTGGCCAAATCGTAGGTAAGCACTAAGCAATGCATTTCAATGTTCCTGTCGGTACCAAGGGATAGGCTGGACATGATATTTATCAAACCCTGATAATGGTAGGTATTTTATATATCTATAGGCAAGCAAAGTAGGTAGCTCACACATCGCCTTTCATATATGTTGGCTTTTTACATTAGCCCTATGACAACGTGGAGTTAAGTTTATTCATGCAATAACTGAATTCGGATGGGCCGTGCGCGTGTGGGTGTGCCGTCGGCGCCGGGTGCCACCGCCGCCGTCGGTGTCTCCGGGCCGTATAAAGGGGCCGGCGGCGGCCCGGCGCCTGCACCGCCGCCGTCATGGCTCTGCTCCGGCTGCTGCTGTTCCTGGCGCTCGGCTGCACGGGGCTCGGCGCCCGCCGGCGCCCCACCACACACCACATCACCCTGGAGCCTCAGCAGAACCTGCAGATGCGCTGGACAGTCGATTACAGGTAGCGTACGATTAACCGTTTACGTTCCATTTCTCGCCGCATGTTTGCTCCAATGAACAAGGTAAGGACGCACTAAGGACGATTCGTGTGTCTAGCGGACCGGGTGGAGATGATTTCAAGCATACCCACTACCCAGTTATGTAGTAGTCAATAGAGATCCAAGTCTTGCCCTCGTCGATTGCGCTCGACAGTTTGTTTTTGGGAAATTGAAAGAGTCCGAGCGAATTAAAACTAAATACGAATACTACTACATCTAATTTTCCTTATCAAAGGTGTCGGCATTGTGTTACTTTATGTCTGTAGATACGACATACCCTCAATTAGATCGGCTCATGTTTCGTCTATCGTCTTATCGGTCGGTGTTGCAATAATCTGCAAGCTTCAAAATCGTTAATCGTTATACCCTTGACATATTGATGCAATTGCATACAAAACGACATGTCAGAGAAAACTGACGCTGGCGGCGGTAGGTAATCGCCGTTTTCACGGCCGGCTATCCGGCGAATGCACCATTCATTCGTTTATTGACCGTGGGTAGGGGGAGACACAAGCGCAAACATGGCATATTAAAACGATGCAAGCGTTACAGGATAAAATACATTAAAAACAACCCTCAGTCCATCTACGATCACAAGCGATTCGGCGCGACCAAATTTGACCAAATCTGCACCAAATCTCTTTTACAATAGATATCTTCATATCATTAATTTATTTCAGTGTTTTTATCGAAATAATGTCTGATAATTTGAAAAATGAGGTATATAAGCATTTGTGCTACCAAAGCTGATAACTTTTAAGAAACACAATGAACCTAATTTGACCAAATCTGCAACAATTCTGCACCTAATCTGCGCCAAATGTGTACCGGATGGCCGTCATGAAAACGGCTTATCACGACGACTATTAAACGGTACACATTTGGTGCACATTTGGTGCAGATTAGGTGCCGATTTGGCCAAATTAGGTTCAGTGTACCTCTTGGTAGCTATGAGCTAGAGTTGTGCTAATTGCTTGTGTGCCTGCTTTGTCATATTATCAGAGAGTATCATCGATTAAAACACTAAAATAAATTCACAATACGAAGATATTTGCTGTAACAGAAACAGGTGCAGATTTGGTCAAATTAGGTGCATTCGCCGGATAGCCCGTCGTGCATAGGCGGCGGAACGGGGGGGGGGGGGCACCGGGGCACCGTGCCCCCCCCCTTGAATTCTGCAAGGGGGCACCAATAGCAAGGTGCCCCCCCTTAAATTTGATGTATTAGTACCAGGGGCGGATTCGGGAAAACTCTAAGGGGAGGTTCATGAATCGAAGTGGTGCCCCTACCTATGCCCAAAATTAAAACCTCAACGGATTTCGGCCACTTAATTTTGGTGGTGCCCTATTTTCAGTTTTTTTCTTTATTTTTGGTTAGTCATGTGATGACTGGTGCCCCTGCTAAGCCGCTGGTGCCCCTGGAAAGACTGTGGTACTTACCTACCCTGCCCCCTGACAAGCCTGCGGTGGGCCCTGACATGACTTAGGTGCCCATGGGCCCTGACAGGCCCGTGGTGCCCCTGACAGGCCTGTGGTGTCCTTGCTAGGCCTGTGGTGTCCCTGGGCCTTGGCAGGTTTGTGGTGCCCCTGTTAGAACGCAGGTGCCCTTGACAGGTTTGTGGTGCCTCTGACAATCCTAAATTGCCAACGACAGGCTTGTGGTGCCCTTGACAGGCCCATGGTGCCCTTGCGAAGCCGGTGGTTCCCCTGCGAAGCCGATAGTGTCCCTGACAGGCCTCTGGTGCCCCTGGCAGGTCTGTGGTGCCCCTGGAAGACCTGTAGTGCTTTTGCTAGGCCGATGGTGCTCCTGGCAGGCCTGTGGTGCCACTGACAGGCCCGTGGTGCCCCTGCTAGGCCTTTGGCACCCCTGGCGGGCCTGTGGTGCTCCTGGCAGGCATGTGGTGACCCCAGGCCCTAAGTCATGACCCATGTGACCTCCACCCTGGGATTCGCCACTGATTAGTACTGCGATGGCTTCTTGGGAATTATACATGTAGGATAAATGGAATTTATCAAACGACAATAAGGAAGAGACAAACACATAGGTACTTGAGGATCAGCTTAAAGTTAACCACACATACGGGCAGGGGTGTAATTTTCCTAAAATGATTGTGGGTGCCCAGCTGTAGGGGCACCCGGCGCCAGGCCGTTTTGGGGCGCGATAGATATTCTTATGTGGGAGCCTAAATTAACACCGAATTTGATAACATTGCTAGCCGAATGGCGCTTCAAGTGACGTGTCTGACTAAGCAAATACACGCTTAAAAGTGGAAACTGACCGGAAGGACGTAAAAAATATGTAGAGAGGCGCCATCCAGTAGGAGGGGCACCAAATGTGGAGGCGCCAGACGGTTACGACTTACGAGGGCGCCGTGAGACGATGAAAAGGGCGCCATTCTCCTAGGAGGGCGCCGAGTGATTGAAAACGCTATGTGGTCCAGGGGCGCTAAGAGGCCAGAAGGGCGCCGCACAGTCAGTAGTGCTACGTTGGTGGGGACGTGGGGGCGCCAGATGGTTACGAGGGCGCCTTGAGATCATGAAAAGGGCGCCATTCTCGTAAAAGGGTGCCGAGTGATTGAAAACGCTATATGTGGTTCAGGGGCGCTGAGAGCCCAGAAGGGCGCCGAATAGTCGAGGGATGCACGGTGAACAGAGACCTAAGGACGCGAGACGGTCAGGAGGGCGCCGTTAGACCATGAGAATGGCGCGGTGCTGTCAAAAGTGCGCCATTCTCCCAGAAGGGCGCCGAGTGATTAAAAACGCTATCCATGAACGCGAGACGGTCAGGAGGACGCCGTTAGAGCATGCGAAGGGCACCGTGCTCTCGAAAGGACGCTTGCAGCCTTGTAAAAGACTTGTGGGTGCTTTTTCATCATTGTGGGGGCATAATTCAGGATTGTGGGTGGCTGCATATGCCCCCACAAAGAGATATAAAATTAGGTACACCCCTGCATACGGGGGTGAACTGCCATTTTCGTTTAGTAAAAAAAAAATAATAATAAAATCATCGTGTCAGGGCTGTGACGAAAAATAAATGGCCTAAATCCGATGAGAAAACAGGATTTGGGGGTACCCTAGGTTTGGCTCCTTGAGCCATGGTGCCCCCCCTTGTCTCAAATCGTTCCGCCGCCTATGCCGTCGTGAAAACGGCTAATAATGTCTGCCGGCTCATCGCCAGGGGAAGCTGCAGCTGTGACGCTATCGCCTGCCTCCTGCAGGGATGAGGAGGTGGCGATCGAGGTGGGCGCCTCACTCAGTCCCACACAGTGGCTCGGCCTGGGCTTCTCGGAGCGCGGTGAGCTGGCCGGCGCCGACCTCTGCGTGCTCTGGGTCGACTGGAAGCGCCGTGTCCGGCTCCAGGTGGGTGGCGGCGAACGGCGGCTGAGGCCCGGCAGCTCGGAGATGGGGGACGGGAGGCGCTGTCCAGTAGGGCGACATGCGCATTGCGCAGCCCCTGCCACCGGCGGCGCACATAGTCATTGATCCTTGCGGCCACAAGCGTGGTCGGTCAACCAGAGAGAGCTGCAAGTTTTCCTATCAATGAGTTCAGGATACGCACTATGTAGAAATGTGGGAAGTTATAGTCATTGAACAATAAACATGGGACTCACTGTAGTTGGGCAGGATGGGAAACACGGCTGCCGTAAAAAAAAAAAATAGGGTGGCTCAGGCTAAGGAATAATTTAAATGAATTTAAATAGGTAAACGAACATAATGCATAGGTTATGAAATTATTACGTTATGAGTATGATTATTATATCTTTCGCGTAATGAAAAAGCTAGTTTTAAACATCGATATAAAGAGTTTTAGATATTCTAACGCTCATGGTTTATCTAATCGCAACACACCTACATTCGGAAACGGAAACTTAGCCTGCGCCGTCTTGGGTCTTCCGAATAAAATGTCAGTTATCGAAAAGAACGCCGAAAGTGATAAACTCGAAGAAGGTTTATCGCAATTTGGTCATCTAAAAAATGCATTTGTTTCGTTCACTTCGAACATTTAAACATTTGGTACACATGAAATGCATTTTGCATTTTCCGACTAGCAAAGTACCGGTCGGGTTAAACATTATACCTACAACGTTAAACGTAATAATGTTTAAACGGTCACACTCATTGCTCTACCTAAATTCTTAGCATTCTAAGGGTGGTTTTGCGTTTTTAGAGATTAAACATCGCCGCTAAATCCCTACAATGGTGCCCACTGCCCAATAATAAATACCGATGTTAGGCAGGTATGTTAGGCAGTTGAGCGCCCAGCGTCATTTTAACAAGGAAGTAATATCTTCATTTGAATACGAAAAGGGATCCCGGGCTAGTTTCGTTTTCCGGAAACGTTAGTTCATGGCTCATTTTTAAGGTCATTCCAGTGTCAATTCAGAATGTCATTTCATAATAATACCTACCTTCATTGCGTTTCGCCAGAAAAAGATATCCTCACTTGACGCACACGGGCAGCGCTTTATTATCTGAGCTTTGAGCCGTCCATTATCCTAACCCCCAGATCCACTTCATTACCTGGAGCAGGATGGAGACCGCGCGGCTCTTTGGCGGGGAGGGGGGAGGGGGAGGGATCCCAGGGCGTGACCTCATCATCTCTGCGACGGCCGGCGGTATTTGCTCATATAGGGCCCGGTTTGCTCTGCAACGCGATCGGCGGGGCGCGCCGGGCGGCGATGATTGCTCGACGTGGTGCCGCGGCGAGTGGGACGGCGCGGCACGTGACGGCACGCACCGGCCAAAACGACCGGAAAGCGGCCTTATTGCCGCCACCCATATCAGCAGACAATGGAGATATGAGGCTTGGTCGGTTGGCGAGCGTCAGACAAGACGACGATATAAAAGCCTGCAGGCCTGATTAAATTTTTGGTTGCGTTCATAAAATTAAATTTCCCATGCTGCACTAACAATGGCTAATCCATTCTGTGTCTGCAGTGCATTTACGTTCTGCAGAGGTAAAAGCTTTTCTCTTTGTGGTGGAGATGATGCATCGTGTGCCCGGAGCGGTGACGTGCTGACTTGGTCCCGTGCCCTCGGCAGCACGGCTGGGTGGACGGCCAGGGCCGGCTGACGGCCGACCCGGACACCGTGTGCCGCTCGGCGCAGCTGCTCACCCGCCGACCGGAAGCCACTGTGTTCCGGTTCCGGCGCCGCTTCAACACCTGCCGGCCGCGCGACTACGTGCTGGATGTGAGTACCGGCCTGCCAACGGCCGCAGATGGGACACCCCGGGCTGCCTCTGCGACCTGTGACAGCAGTATTCCGTGCTGGAGCCGGTCTCAAAGCGTCAACTACAGTCCAACCGCAGCGACGTAATACTGCGGCAATAATGCACTCTCCCGAGTCCCGAGACCCGATACACGTGTAATACGTCATCCCTAACGTCTAAAGACCGACTGATTACTCTATCTGTCGAACATTGGCGACTTTGTTTTATTATAAGTGCGTCTTACTGTGAAAAGAAAATATCTTGAAGCATCCTACAAAACGAGACGACTCGATAAAATGTCGCTCGTAGACATCGCAACGGTCTCATTCAAACTACAAGGCAGATATTCGTATTTGACCCGTTTATTCATAACATTAGATCACCAAAATCATTTTTAAACGGCCCGCGCTCCATGTCGAATGTTTTGACCGTGCGATGGCGCCGTTTCAGACGGGCACCACTCACATTGTGTGGGTGAGCGGCCCGGGTCCGCTGCTGCGGCTGGAGAACCTCCAGCTGAGCCACTTTGCGGTCGGCATGGCGCGCGTGCAGCTGCTGCGAGCCGAGGTGCAGCCGCCGGCGCCGCCGCCGGACGCCGCGCGGCTCGAGCTGCGCTCCCGGCGGGTGGCCGTGCCGGACCAGGAGACCACCTACTGGTGCACCGTGCACCGGCTGCCGGCCGCGCTCGCCCGCAAACACCACATCATACAGGCGAGATATATACTTAAGTCTTCACACTATAAACCGCAAACACCGCGTCATACAGGCGAGAAATAAAGCTCATCCAACCCGACTGCAAACACTATATCGTACGGGTGAGAAATAACACACATCCAACCCTCCCCTTCTGGACCAAACAACATGTCGCACAGGCTAGACAAAAGTATTTGTGTCCGTCTATTCATCTTATTCCGTCGTCCCTTTTGATATAATTGTCCGTTTTCGTAAAACTCGCCTTTGTCTCCATAAAACACGTGTTCGGTGTTCGTCTTCGTATAGCACAAGCCCGTCTCTGCATTAACACTAATCCGTCTCTGTGTAGGTAACACTTCCCGTCTCTGTACAACACGTGCTAGTCACCATATAACACGTGCCTGTCTTCATATAATACGTGTATGTCTCAGTATAATACGTCTCCGTCTCCGTTTTACACGAGTCTGCTCCCGTACAACACGTGCTCGCCTCCGTATGTGTCCGTCTCCGTAGTACACTTATCTTGTCTTCGTATAACACATGTCAATCGGTATAATACGTTTTCGTCTTCGTATGTGCCCGTCTCGTCTCGTCGTCTCGTAATAAGATCTATTCGTCTCCGTATGACACGTGCCCGTGTCCATCTAGGAGGTGTCCGTCTCCAAAAATAATAATCATCGTGTCCCGTCTCAGCAACTCGTGCCCGGCTCTGTATGAAACGCATCCGTCTATACATGTAACGGCGTAACGCTTGCCCGTCTCCATATAACGCGTTTTCAACCCGTATATGGCCCGTGCCCGTCTCGGTATTACCCGTATCCGTCCTCGTATCTGCCGTGTCGGTCCCCGTATAACCCGTGCCCGTCTCCGTCTAACCCGCGTCGGTCGGCGGGTCGGCAGTACGAGGCGGTGGTGGACGCCGGTAACGAGGACCTGGTGCACCACATGGAGGTGTTCCACTGCGAGGCGCCGGTCGCCCAGAGGATACCCCGCTACGAGGGGCCGTGCCACGCGCCCGACCGGCCGCCCGCCGTCGACCAGTGCAAGCGCGTGCTGGCGGCCTGGGCGATGGGCGCCGATCCGCTGGTGTATCCAGAGGTGAGCAGAGATCCCCGGTACCCTGCCTGGTGGACTCACAGTCCAGCACACCGGCCGAAATAACTTTGGAACGTTTAAACTAGGTACAATGCTTGTGACCATATGTTCGGCGGTAATTACTTTATATTTGGGTGCGTTAACCCGCGCGGGGCTGGGGGGTAAATTTTACCCCCCCTCGCGAATTTTTGGAATATCTCAAAAACGGCGGCGCGCAGCGCCGCCAAACTTACAGAACCTTTTCTTACATCAATTTGACACGTTCCCTGAAAATTTGAGCGAAATCCGTCTGAAATTTTTTGAGAAATTGACGTTTTAGTGACGTCATGTTCGGCATTTTCGCCTCAAAAACGGCAGAAGTTCAAACGCCGCTAACATCTTCATTTTTAAAGGGATCAAGACGTAACAAAAAGGATATACGTAATTCTACTTTGTCTATCAAATGGCTATCTCGGTTTTTGAAAATTTTGGATTTCGGCCCAAATTTTTTTTTCAAAAAACTGACTTTTTTGGGAAAATAGCTAAAAAATCCAAAATTTTGAGTGTATCGAAAAAACCGGAATACATATCAGAGAAGTGGTCTATGTGCACCTACATACCAAGTTTTAGAAGAATCGGTTCAAAAATGTGGGAGTTATTCAAAATTGTATGACGACACGACACACAAAATTTTTGAAAAATGACTTTTTTGGAAGTTATAGACCTCGTACGGAAACAAAAATAGCACCATTCGATTCGCCGTGAAAAACTGCATCAGATAGACACCTTTTTAGGCCTTAACAACCAACTTCAAAATTTGACCTCACTTGACCTGACCTTGACCTGACCTCGACCTGAAATTCATCCAGAGGTGGTCCATATCACTTATTGAGTGTGCCTATTGAATTCTATGAGTAAAATGACCCATAAAACATGTGTCGCACATGCCCTTTTCTATATTTTGTTTTTGGTGACCTGACCTGACCTGACCTGACCTTGACCTTGACCTCTGAATGATATTGTATGCAACGAATATTGTCTTGGTAGCCTAAGAACACGTTTTGGGCGATCAGTCTCAGTCCATGACTCCATTCTTCGGCAACTACGGTGCAAGGCCGATACTGTAGGAACTTGCAATTTGTAGGTACCCGTGACCTGACGTTGACCTTGACCTCAAACTTAAAATTAAGTTTATGTTCTTAGTTGTTCGTGATGAGATCTTTCGATTGGCGTTTGAATTTTCCAAATCGGACCATTAGTTCGGGAGATAACAGGGGGGGGGGGTAAAATTTACCCCCCCCCCCAGCCCCGCGCGTTCGGCTGGAGACCCCAGCCCCGCGCGGGTTAATGTCCATGCCGTTGGATTTTATCGCCTCAAGGGAGGTAGCTGAATGTGAGCTGCCTATGTCGCTGTGCGAGATGCGCCTTAATCTCAGCGATTGTATCGTCTGTTCCCGGTATAGGAGGCCGGTTTGCCGATCGGTGGACCCGACTTCAACCCGTATGTGATGCTCGAGGTCCACTACAACAACCCCAACCTGAAGAGAGGTGAGAAGTGATTAGGTACTTAGGTACACATTTAGACTGTTTCCCGGCACCTATGCATTTTGCAGTGACATTTTTGGCTTCATTCAGAATTTGTAAATGTGAAAATACTAAAAATGACATCCACAGACTGATGGAAAATCAAAATAACGAATCTTTTCAATGTGGAGAATATTATGGTAAACGTCATTTTCAAACCAAATGCAGGTCGGACCGGGCGTGCTGCCACCTTTCAGTGGTCTAGTCAAACCGAATGTGTCGCATCTCTCGGCGGTCTGTTCAGGCTGAACATACCGTCATATCTTGGTAGTCTGCTAGACATAACGCTGCGCGCGCAGGTCACCGGGACAGCTCGGGCGTGCGGCTCACCTACACGGAGCGGCTGCGGCCGCACGATGCCAGTGTCATGGAGCTCGGTCTCGAGTACACCGACAAGATGGCCATTCCGCCCGGCATGGCCTCCTTCGAGCTCTCCGGCTACTGCGTGCCAGAGTGCACCGCCGTGGTGAGTGGTTCGTGTGCAGTGTGCACCCGCAGAGACTGGCAACGGCTGGCTATTCGTATATAGTACTACTGGAGGAGGTAGGTATGCTCGTTTCGACCGATTGCAGAATATCGAGATTGACATTACGCGATTTGATACCGTGCTAGTGCTGAATTTAGAGATACAAGTTTACCTGCAATCAAGTGTTTCTTTGTCGACGTAGGTCATCCTGTACCTACTGTTTGACTGAGAGATATCATGTTAACGTTAACGGTGGTGGTGTTTGATTTGGTGCGGGAGCGATTGCTCTGAACAATTATATCCGCTCTTCGCACATTGTGAGCGGGCTGTGACGTTTGTCCGTCCCGCCGTGTGCCAGGGTCTGCTGCAGGCCGGTATCCGTGTGTTTGCCTCTCAGCTGCACACCCACCTCACCGGGGTGGCCGTGCGCACCGAGCACGTGCGCGCCGACGGCACCCAGCTACCCGACCTGAACCGGGACGAGCACTACTCGACCCACTACCAGGAGATCCGGCTGCTGCCCCAACACCGCGCCGTGATGCCGGTAAGCACTCGGATAACAGGCACAACAGGAACAACAAGTAACAACATGAACATACATAGACAACGGGGTGTTACTGTTACCATTGACGTGAGCTTGTGAAAAGCCACTCCATTGAGTGGATCTGGCTCGAATATATCTGTATCTGTATCATGCATCGCTGCTTATGTTGAACTGTGCAGTGTACAGCACTAAACAGCGCCGTTGTTGCGTATGCGTACTCCTTTGTCATGCATTGATTTACGCGACGGTTCGCCTCTGGATGAGCACTGAGCCGTCTCCCCTGGTCTGCAGGGTGACGCGCTCATCACCACGTGCCGGTACCAGACGCTGGAGCGGCCGAACATCACACTCGGTGGCTTCTCCATCACCGACGAGATGTGCGTCAACTACATCCACTACTTCCCCAAGGTCAACCTCGAGGTCTGCAAGAGCTCCGTCGACTCCGACACCCTGAGGAACTACTTCAGGTTCATGAACCGGTACTGTCCGATCCATAAAAGCGACTAAACTGTTTTCAAATATTGTAAAATTGTTGCGTAATGAGACGCTTGAAGACAGGGCATCTACGAATGGTCTACTTTCGTTTTGCAATAACTTGTCGTTTATTTACCATACTTCTTCGGTTGAAAAGAAATCGAGCCTGTCGGCTCTGTCCCAAATAAGGAATGCAAAACAGCTCCCCATTCACAGTAGGTATGAAAATAATGTCTTTGTTGTAGTTATTTCACAATTGACCCCTGTTGCAGATGGGAAGGCCAGCCGACTGAAAACGAACAAAATAAATCGGATGAATCGCCAGAAGAACATATCCCCGATTGGGGCAACAAGTATAAGAGCATTAGATGGAACAAAATCAGATCTCTCGGGCTTCAGCAGGTGAGTTAGTTCTTACGTTAAAATATATTTACGTACTTAACCCTATTCCTGGCGGGGGGCCTCAGGAGCCCCCCCCCCTGAGGTTTTTTGGTTATTTCTCCCAAACGCGTTGAGCTAGGAAGCTCAAATTTTCTGACTTTTCCTAAAAGGCTTCTACGCAACATGTCTGAAAATTTTGAGTTGATCTGACCTCAGGTCAGGTCACCAGAGGCGGTTTGGTGAACCTACCTCAGAAAAGTTTGCATCACGCCAGAGCTAGAGTTTTTGACCGATCAATTTCTTCTCTTCAGGCTTTAGTTAAGGTACCAGTATGTGCAATTTTTATATCTCGGAATTTTGATATCGGTGACCTAAGGTCAGGTCAGTTTCGCGACCTCCCCATTATAAGTCAATGGGGGAAAAATCAACTCCCTGTTTTTACCACTAAAACGGGTCGGAATGGCCCCATATACCATACATGACTTCATATACGATCAACCTTCACTACCTTGAGGTCTGTTTTGCTGTTGGGCAGCTGTGAGGTCATGTGACGTCATCAAAGGTCACCAAAGGTTTTTGGCCAATAACTCCGTACAGGAACAAGATACAGACGCGTGGATGGTCTCATTGTGTTCAGCTCGTCAAGACGCATCGAATGATATACATGATGACCTCGAGGTCACGTGACCTGAGGTCAACCTTTGACCTTGACCTTTCGAGGTCAACATATATATCATTCGATGCGGATTGACGAGAGGATCACGATGATGCCCTTAGTTTGTTCCTATCTTGACTAATTCGAAAGTTATTCGAGAAAAACTCTCTCCATATCTAGCGCCGCCATTTTGACTTTTTCGACCCCTGTGACGTCATCTTTGACCTGACCTGAAAATGACCTTAGTAAAAATTGTAGATCTTGACCGTGCGTATCCGATGCCGTTCATCGTTTGTCGCTGCGATGTGTAGTTTTTGAGATCTGAAGGGGGGGCCGAATCGGCCCCCCCCCGCCAGTTTCTTGTCCCGGCGGAGCCCGCCAGGAATAGGGTTAATTAAGACATATTGTTAATATCATTATCCCTATCAGCTATTGGTTTGCTGACCCCTGTCCTCCCTCCGTGCCTTCAGCTGTACGCCACGGCGCCGCTCTCGATGCAGTGTAACCAGAGTAACGGCGACCGGTTCGCCGGCTACTGGGAGCGGGTGCCGCTGCCCACGGTGCGCCTGCCGCTGCTCGAGGAAGAGCCGTGCCCGGCCCGACCGACTGACCTGGGGCAGAGCGACTCGACTGCAGAGCGACTGCTCGAGGAGGAGGGTCGCCACAGGAAGAGGGCGGCGCCGGAGGAAGGCGACCACGGCGCACACGGCTGCTGCCACCACGGCCACGAAGGCTGATTGATAAATGTTCGGTAGTACTGTCACTGAGTCCATCGGATGACTGATCCTGACGTTAGATGAGTCCTACACTGACTCGCCCAACCCTGTCCGCACTGTGCAATGGCTTAATTAATAATGTCGGTCGGTATAACTATAAACGGCTCTGTGTAGCCTTTAATTTAATTACGCATGTTATACCCCTTCCTTGGCGGTGGAGTAAGACTGTGACAAATCCGCCGAAGGAAAATATACCAAACGAAAAAGGAAAATATACCATTACGTAATTATTTACATATACATAGCTACGACCAACGTGAGCATGTAATTACGTATAATCCACCCGTGCTATGCATATTGCGTATGTCTACCCTTGTCCATGCCTAACACCTATTTTCTATTGTTTATGCCGCATTTGTGCCAAATATGAGGCTATGAGCAGCTGGCTGGTCGGAGCGCGGCCCGGCCCCGATCGTTCAGGCTATATGGCAGCTGTATATCCGGCACGTAACTCAGGACGGGCAGACCGGTCAGGGCAGACCGTGTTTCCGTGCTCACTGTGGCACGAACGGTGCTGGCACGCCTCCGGAAGGAGCCGCTCCGACCCGGACAGGCACTGGGCGGGGCACTGACCCAGTATCGGCAGGCCTCAGCCCACGGTGAGGGACAGCAGTGGCTTAGCTGACTGGCTGTAGTTAACGTGTGGAGCCGAGATTAGGAGCCACTGACATGCTTACCAATGTCTTGTTAAAGTGACCGCTAGTCATGCGTGAATTGATGTTTATCAGCACTTGAAGCGAAAGCTGCTGCTGTATGAGTTACCACGAGGGACCAATAAATATCGTTATTGTCCATTGTCGTTTGAGATAGGCACTGCTCCCCCGTGTTTGAACAGCATTAAGCATACGTATTTAATTATTAGGTACTTCCTAATTTACTCATCATACAAATGTTTCAGTAAGGCTCTATTTTACCCGGAGCAATGATGACGCTTCGTTGGATAGCCCTGGAGTGCAGCTGGTGAGACGTCAGTTCGATAGTCGGAAGGACCCGGGTTCGACTCCCGGTGCCGCCATCCTCCGGACGTCCTCCAGACGGCGGCATCCCGCTGGTTACAGGGTTCCCAGCTGGTTACAGGACAGTCCACTCACAGATCGACTGTTCGGACCAATCCAGGCGACGGCACCATATTTGAGTTGCCGTAAATGATTGTTTCATCTGATTTGAATATGTTGATCTCAGATGACCTCGAAAGCCGAAAGGTCAACTAAGTGTTTTCGCCCTCTGCACGCTGTCGTCATTTAGGTATGAGTTGGCGTCGTTTTTAAGTTGACGTTGCAAGGTCACCGATGTCTTTCGAGTTTGTTTACCCGGGTGCACGTCAGAATAGCTAGTGACATTTGAGCGTAATGACTTTTGAGCTAGTACAAAACAGCTAGTGCTTCAAAACAGCTAGTGAAAAAACAGCTAGCGTCAAAATAGCTAGTGAAGCAAAATAGCTAGTGCATAAAAGCAGCTTGTGACAAAACAGCTAGCGTCAGAGAAGCTAGTGAAGCAAAAGAGCTAGTGCCTCAAAACAGCTAGTGACGAAAAAGCTATCGCCAAAATTGCTTTTTCGTTGGACATCTGTTCCCTTCCGATTCACTTCGCTTCGAAAATGCAAGATATCTTTTACTGTAAATATGTATTTCCCGCGATATGCCATCTCAAACATTCAAAGTGATGTTGAAACCTACTCCCCGAATGAATTCTTGTTTTGCTAATAATGCCTTCCCTGTAGGGGAAGTTGGGGCAATGCCGGAGTTGGGGCAAAGCCGAAATTCGAGATATTTCGAATCGAAAACCGTAAGACATGGATGCCACCTGTCAGTGATGCTCTGAAGCTTAACCCTATTCCTGGCGGGCTCCGCCGGGACAAGAAACTGGCGGGGGGGGGGGGGCCGATTCGGCCCCCCCCCTGAGATCTCGAGAACGAAGCAGGATAGCGACAAACGGTAAACGGCATCGGATACGCACGGTCAAGATCTACAATTTTTACGAAGGTCATTTTCAGGTCAGGTCAAAGATGACGTCACAGGGGTCGAAAAAGTCAAAATGGCGGCGCTAGATATGGAGAGAGTTTTTCTCGAATAACTTTCGAATTAGTCAAGATAGGAACAAACTAAGGGCATCATCGTGATCCTCTCGTCAATCCGCATCGAATGACATATATGTTGACCTCGAAAGGTCAAGGTCAAAGGTTGACCTCAGGTCACGTGACCTCGAGGTCATCATGTATATCATTCGATGCGTCTTGACGAGCTGAACACAATGAGACCATCCACGCGTCTGTATCTTGTTCCTGTACGGAGTTATTGGCCAAAAACCTTTGGTGACCTTTGATGACGTCACATGACCTCACAGCTGCCCAACAGCAAAACAGACCTCAAGGTAGTGAAGGTTGATCGTATATGAAGTCATGTATGGTATATGGGGCCATTCCGACCCGTTTTAGTGGTAAAAACAGGGAGTTGATTTTTCCCCCATTGACTTATAATGGGGAGGTCGCGAAACTGACCTGACCTTAGGTCACCGATATCAAAATTCCGAGATATACAAATTGCACATACTGGTACCCTAACTAAAGCCTGAAGAGAAGAAATTGATCGGTCAAAAACTCTAGCTCTGGCGTGATTGCAAACTTTTCTGAGGTAGGGTCACCAAACCGCCTCTGGTGACCTGACCTGAGGTCAGATCAACTCAAAATTTTCAGACATGTTGCGTAGAAGCCTTTTAGGAAAAGTCAGAAAATTTGAGCTTCCTAGCTCAACGCGTTTGGGAGAAATAACCAAAAAACCTCAGGGGGGGGCTCCTGAGGCCCCCCCCCCGCCAGGAATAGGGTTAAGTGACTACAATTATCGCATGTTTGTTACGAGTCGTCATTCGGAATACTTCGGTTGTGAGGGCGCCAAGAGCGTTTTCAAGGTACGCGTTCCTTGTACTACATGCGCCTTTGAAGCTGCATTTCTTACTCATTATGCTACCGTTTGTCTGGCCAATTCGGTCAAGTAATCTTCAGCGTGTCTTTGCATAAGTGTGCTGCCTATTTGAAATTTATACGGCACGTTGAAAAGTTATGGGCCTGCAAATGAAAGTATGGCTGGCTGGGGTAATGCCGAAAACGTGCAATTACGCACGTTAAAGTACGCTACGTGGACTTTACTGCTGTAGAATAGCAACGCGAATTTTTAGTCACACAAACTACACTTTCAACCGACAGAACGGCCTGTTGCCTATAAGGAATTATTTACCTGGCATTTTCTTATTATATCACACAATTATAGCTTCCAGTGTGCACCAAGCGTCCTCAAGCTCTTAAAGGGACCCTCCCACCTTAACATTAGATTTGAGTTGAGATAGCCAAAATGGGGTCCCTGGCTCACAATTACCGGTTTCGGCACTCACAAATCGAGAAATGCCTTAAATCGGAAATATTGAATTTCAAAATTGCAGCATTTTGATTCAGAGGGGCTAATGCATAGGAATACCCCTCTGAATGTGTGACGTCAGCGCAGATATCTAATGATTTTTAAATGTCTGACTAAAACGTTTTGTAGCACGCGGTGGTATATGCTGCTTTGCGCGCAACAAATGCCGCACTTTCAAATAAAGTCGCTGGGAACAGCGGAGATCCCAAAAAGTAAACAAAAGTAAAAGTCTAATATCTTGAAAACCGGTGAATATTTTTCGATGAAATTTGGTAGATATTTGTTTTTGCTCTTTCTGAACCGAGCGACATCACTTTCATGCCAATTCATTAACTTTTTTGAAGGTGGGAGGGTCCCTTTAAAACGCGTGTCAGCTTTGATAAATTCTGGATAAAGTTTGAGATAAAGTGGCAAAACATCAATGTTGGCATTCCCCGTAGATCATTTCTCCCATTTTCGGCTTTCCCCGCGCAGTCCGGGGCAACGCCGAAAAAGTCACTTCTTTGATATTTTTAGTTTGTGCGCTTAACGGTATGCGAATTCATCAAATGCGCCTGGTATGTTTGAAAGGCAAAAGACTGGCCTCTCGAATGACGCCAACAAGAATAGCTTATGTTGTCTACCTTGCGTGCTACGGGCGTCAGAAAAAAAGTATTCGGCGTTCCCCCAACTTCCCCTATAGCGTGTAAGAAGAGTAACTAATCTGGCATTAATGTCTCTGTATGGAAAATCCTGGCCACTTTTGAATTTCATAAGATCAGAACCTTGAAGATTTTGTTCTTTTTGGATGACGGTGAAATAGTTGTGATGAGTCAAACATGCCTTGAATTCCCCGGTGCCACGCTTCTAATTTGTTGTGCTGTCCTTCTACACACAGAAAAATATTGACACCGTTAGCGGTGTAATTGCACAGTACATATCTGAGCACTTGAGGAAAGTTAATTTAGTCCCTTCCCCGCTTAAATTACTCGCGCTTCCAAATGAGCACCAGGAAGAAGGTAATAGAACACTGTTAGGAGGGTTGGGTGTTTTACTACATGTAGCAAAACACCCAACCCTCCCAACAGTGTTCTATTACCTTCTTCCTGGTGTTCATTTGGAAGCGCGAGTAATTTAACCCTCGCCCGCACATGCCATTTTCCCATCCTAGAACGCACATGGGGGGGGTGGTTGCCACCCCCCCCCCGCGCCGTTTCGTTCCTGTTGGAGATAGAGCTTAGCGGTAAGACCAAAAAGATTCTTTGGGAAGAGACGAATCCAATGATACCCGATTTTACCTTCTCAGGTCAGTCATTGACCTTCCAGGTCAGGTCAAACTAAAAAATGTTGCTGTTTTGGGTCACCGCTGGATATCAAGTGCGCTGCTTATCATATACCGATGACGATGCCGTTTTCTGGTGCCAAGCCAGCTAGAACCTCTTTGTCACACTACCCGACCAGATTTTTGCTGCTGAGGTCATTTCAGGTCAAGTTAGGTCAAGGTCAGTTATATGTGTTTGTATGTCTGTGTGTGTCTGTGTGTATACTGATGTGTGCACCGATTGTTTTTGTGTCCATATTACATGAAATTATGATCTGAGAAGCTTTTACCAAAAATGCAGTCAAAAAAACTTCACAAAAAGCGAATTCAGCTTGCCTAAAACGCAATTATCTTAGATGACCTAGGTTGACCTTGACCCTGACCTTGACCCCTGTACATCGTCGAACGACATGTTCCATGATAGGTGAGAGGTAAGACTGGCGAAAAAGGCCGAAATCAAGGTGTCAAAAGCTCACAAGGCCCATGGCAAACGCAAGATGTTGAGAATTGGCCATTTTGGTCATGACCTGACCTGACAAACAAGGTCATATCTCCGAAACCAAAAATTACAGAAACTTGAAATTTTCAGTGGACATCAATAAAGGATAGAGGAGCAGCTATACCAAAAATCAGCCTTCTAGCTTTAAAAATGTTGAGTGCAGAGCAGAAAGACTACCTGGGGGGGGGGTGGCAACCACCCCCCATGTGCGGGCGAGGGTTAAGCGGGGAAGGGACTAAATTAACTTTCCTCAAGTGCTCAGATATGTACTGTGCAATTACACCGCTAACGGTGTTAATATTTTTCTGTGTGTAACATTCCAAATAATTGTGTCAAACAACGGTGCTCTTCTGTTCCTTCTACCGGTCGGGACTCGTCGTCGGGAAAGAATCTAAGGACTCATCGGGAAAGAATCTATAATAGCTGCTCGTACTTAGTACAAATCCGCTACTTTGCTTCATTACTTATTTCGACGCTAGCGATTTTGTCACTAGCTATAATGAAGCACTAGCTATTTTGCTCTACTAGCTATATTGGCGCTAGCTGTTTTGTCACTAGCTGATTTGATGCACTAGCTATTTTGCATTACTGGCTATTTTGGCGCTAGCTGTTTTGTCACTAGCTGTTTTGAAGCACTAGCTCATTTGTACTAGCTCAAAAGTCACTAGCTCAATAGTCACTAGCTGTTTTGACGTGGACCCGTTTGTCCTAACTAAAACACGGATTAGGTACGAGGCTGGGTGGTCCGAGAGGGTGGGTATACACACAATACCCATACACATAGGTGTTATTGTCATACGCAAAAAACAAACTCGCAGCGAAACTCTTGGGGGTGGACCTCTGCGACCTCCCCCCCCCCCCCGCTCTCTCCCGATGGCGGAGCCCATGCCGGCTGACACCGAGCTATATACCTAAGTGGTAACCGCATTCCCTTTGATCATGGATGTTTCCAAAGACAAAGGCTCAAGCACTCTAAAGGCCGTCCGCCATCGCACATGGCTGTATATAATCCAAGATCGGCAGTGCATCGTCAACTGCTGACAAATAGTCGCTTTTACAAAGCATTTTTGACGAGGCTCTAGCTCATTTATTTTGCGATAATTTCGATCCAGTGATCGTTGAATATTTAACCCGCTTCCTTATTTTTGACGCTCTTTCGATTGCCGCTTACCGCGTGTCGCTACGTTGCCCAGGAGCCGAGTTGGATGTGAACCCCCCCCCCCCCCCCCAGCACTCGGCGGAAAGTTCAGGTCGCCAGGACCAAGGCCGTATAGGCCAGGACGGCGCGGGTTAAAGTAGAAGGGGTCATTTTGTAAATTGTTGCATCTTTTGCAACATAACGGGCGGAGTTATAAGCTTGCAACAATCCACTGGCCACTGGCCAATGGCCATAACGGCCATAACTGGCGACCGAACTGGCGACTGCCGAATCGGAACGCTAGGCGCCTTGGCTATATGGCACAATTTGAGCTCATGCTAGCCGGCACAGCATCACTTCAGGCGCATACCACTAATGCCATCTACCGATAAAACTACAAACTAGTGCTTAGAGAAGCAAGCTATTAACGCTTTTCACCTCTATTTTCTCCTTTCAATAACGGCGCAGTAAATACGGTTACGACGCTCATTTTGTTGCAGCGGTTGCAGGTATTGTGTAATTCGGGCGGAGAGCAAGACAAGATAATATATCCTAATTTGTTGCAAAAATGTCGGGAGTTGCGTTTGGAGCAAGGCAAATGGCTCAGTTGAAGAACTGGTAAGGCGGTTAAGTGATATGTAATACTGGGGGCATGCTGGTATATTGTATATCGTTCAATTTTAGGCATTAATGTTGCTCCCGTACCTACCCACTCAATGCTCAATGGTAGAAAGTAATAAAATTGTTTTTTATTTACTAGCAGATTCAGAGGCATTTGGGGCAGATCTCTCACCCCCTGCAGTGCCCGACGTTACTAAAACATTGTTCTTGAAAAGAGAGAAACAGGGTTTTTGTTACAGGGTTTGCCTTAAAGGGACTATCCCACCTTAATAATATCCCACCTTAATATCCCACCTTTAACATGGGGTTTGAGTTGAGATAGCCAAGTTTGCGGCGAGGTTCAGAAACCACTATCTATCTAGGTTGCAACCCCCGCGGCCAGGGGCGGATCCAGGATTTTTCGGGAGGGGGGGCGGCAAGTCAAAATAGGGGCGACCTGGCAATCTGGGGGCGCTTCATACGAAGGGGCGCCAAACCGTCGTCAAAATCGAGAGTCGTCGAACCCGCGCCCGCGCCGTGGTGTGGGACGTTGCCATGCTCCCCCTCAGGTTTTTCGCAAATATCTGAAAAAACAGCTGTGCGCAGCGCCGCCGTTTTAAGCACACATTATCATGCATCTTTTTTGCACATGTTGTGAAAGTGTCAGGCCCGGGTCATGCAACGGTCACCAGGTCATGACAAGTGACCTAACCCCATGGAATGTTAAAATGCTCACCATTGCTATACCGACAGAACGGTCGCTTTGAAACTGTCAACGATTGATGAAAGCAACAATATTCGTGAAATGTATATCTCGGAATTTTGATATTTGTGGGCTAAGGTCAGGTCAGTTTTGCGACCTCTCCAATCTCCATTAGGTACCTATACCGGGTAGGTATACTACCTAAGTTTATGTGAGACACCTGAAAGGCTTTTGGACGAGCGCCATTCTAGACAATCGCAAGCATTAGGATACATGTAAAATCAACACACTGAATAAGAAAATTGCACCTGTGACCATTCATTGTGTCCCACAGGTCATCCCAGGTCATGAAAGGTCCTGAACAGTTTTTTGAAAATAACTTTTGATAGATACATATGCTAGAACGATAAAAACACCTCCGTTGTGTTCAGCTCGACGATACAGATCGACTGATATGCAACATGACATTCCCCGGTGAGGTCATGACCTTGACCTGAGGTCAAATTATCAAAATTACCTTTGTCATGACCAAAAAATTACAAAATTACTCGACGACAGAAACGCGATGCTGGCAAACGTAATGTCGAGCCTCTCTTGAGTCAAAAGCTATTGCAGGAAAACATTGTTCGTAAAACTGCTATTTTTAGAGTTTTTGCCCTCTGGAGGCTAGACCGTTGACCAGAGGTCAATTCTGAGGGCAGTTCCATAAGCACCTTTGAAAGGGCTATTGAATGCGCTTTACCGCGGCACTATAGCTCTATTGGTTTCCGATCTATGTGCCGGCGTTTCGAAAATTGTTGAAATAGGCAACATTTTACCTTTGATGACCTTTGGTGACCTGACCTTATTTGACCTAACCTAGAAAACCGCTTACCGCGTGTCTCTAGTTCTACGCGACCTAGGAGCCGAGTTAGACGAGGGGACGTGACCTCCCCCCCCCCCTAGCACGACACGGAAAACTCGGACCACCAGCACGGCGCGGGTTAAAAGTCGTAGATGGGCGCCGCTACGTTAGCAAAAAATATTAGCAAAAAGGTGGCCTCCATTTGCTGGTGCATCCTTCTTCTCCTTTTTTTCTGGAAGCGTCTCACTTATGCTGGCTTGCCTCACTTCTCCTGAGGGCGCCCAACCTCTGCTGGGATCGCCCAATGCCTCATGGGGAGGCCCACTTTGCTTGAGTCGCATCATTTCTTCTAAGAACGACCTATTGGCTGTAGGCGACCCACTTATCTGGGACGGCCATCTTCTGCTAGAAGCGCCCCTCTTCTTCCTGATGCGTCACACTTCTACTTGGAGTGCACCTGTTCTGTTAGGGCGCCCCTTTGCTGCTGGGGAGTCCCCTTTTCTACTGTGAATGGGGCGACCCTCTCCTCTTGGGCGACCCCAAATTCTGCTGGAGGCGCCCCATTTCTGTCCAACTTTTGCTGGGGTGCCCCTGTTCTGCAGGGGACACTTCTCTTTTGCTAGAGACACCTCTTCTGGGGGCGCCCTTCCACTGCGGGGACTTATCTCTTCTGCCAGCGGCACCCCTTTTTTCTTATGTTTTTTTTTTTTTACTGGGGCGTCCCTCTTTTGTTCGGAGTGGGGCACCCTTCTCCTTTTTCTGGGGCACCGCCCCTCTGCTGGGGCTGCCCTTCCGCTGTCAGGGGCGCCCCTCTTGTGCAGAATATGCTCCTCTTCTTGTAATGAGGCGCCCCTCTTCTACTGGGGGCACCCGACGACTGCTGCCTGCTGGGAAGCCCATCTGCTGCCGGGGTAACTATCTTCTGCCGGATATTGTCAATGGGGCGCCCCTATCCTGTTTGGCGAGCCAAAACTCTGCCGGAGACTCCCTATTTCTGGTCAACTTTTGCTGTGGCGCCTCTCTTCTGCTGGGACGCCCCTCTTCTGGTGGGGGCGCCCCTCTCCTGTTGGAAACCCTTCTCTTCTGGGCCCCCTCCGCTGCCGGGGGCACCCCTCTTCTCTTAGTGGCATCCATTTTCTTCTTATGGGGCTCCTTTTTTGCTGGGGCGCCCATCTGCTGTCAGGGCGCCTCTCTTCTTCTCGGAATGGGGGCGCCTCTCTCCGTTTGCTGGGGCGTCGCTCCTCTTCAGGGGTGCTTTCTCCTGCTGGGGGTGCCCTTCCGCTGCCAGGGGCGCCTCTCTTGAACAGAAGGTATCTTTTTATTCTTTTAATAAGACGCCGCTCTTCTGCTGGGGCGACTCTCATCTGCTGGGAACGGGCAATTGGGCGTCGCTCTCGTGCTTGGTGAGCCCAACTTCTGAGTGGAGGCGCCCTTTTTCTCCTCAACCTTTGCTGTGTCGCCGCTCTTCTGCTCGGGGCCCCCTCTCTGCCGCGGGCTATGGGCGCCTTTTCGGATGGAGGGGGGGGGGCCGCCCCCGCCGCCCCCCGCTGGATCCGCGCCTGAGGGGCGCCATGTTTTTTTTTTCAATGGGGCGCCCAGTCGCCTGTGATCTTCAATGGGGCGGGGCGCCTGTTATGCTTTGCAGATCAGGGGCGTAACCACGCTAAAAGTGGTGCGGACAAACTTATAGGGGGCGCCATCCCTCAAGGGGGCGCCATCGCCCAAGGGCGGCGCCATTGCCTAAGGGAATGGGGTGAGTAAGAGGGGCGCCTTTATGTGAAAGAGGGGCGCCTATGAAGTTTATAGGGGCGCCTCCATGCGATAAAAGGGGCGCCTTGCCTTGGTAGCGACTGCGTATGCAATCCACTACCATCTACTGTTGCGTCGGAGCTTTGTGTGGGGCGCCATTGCATGGGTCGTGGGTATTGATAGTGCTAAAGCGCGCCTTATATGTATATGGCGTTGTCCGGTGCCCGGCGCCTGACGGCGCCGGGCACCGGACAGCTGAAAGGGCGCCACTTTGCCGGGGGGGGGGGGGGCGGCCGCCCCCGTCGCCCCCCCTGGATCCGCGCCTGCCCGCGGCCTCTTGGTGTTGAAGAAATTCGTTCCCTTCATTTGAAAATGGGCCTTGTACACGGCCCTATCTTCAACATGGAGCGACCGTTAGTGTGACGTCACCTCGTTTAGTCATTCTGATTTAAATGGGTTTGTTCGTTGAAAAATCGCTTAAAACTTGGTCTGAACTTTGTTGTGGTGCCTACAGAGTAAAAAGAATCAGCTTTATGACAGTAATGTGGCCTGGGGAAGGAGGTAATTTTTGGCTGTGACGTCACATATTTGAAAGTTTGTGTTTGGAATATGGGAAGCCTAAGATGTTTAATGAAAAATAAATGCCAGAACCGTGTTCCTGGTCATCCAATCTATAAAGTCGGGCACAATTTAACTGGTTTTAACAACATTTTAGAAGGTGGGATAGTCCCTTTAAATGCATGGCAGTGCATAAGGAATCAAAATCTGAGGACTAAGGATTTTGAAGAAATTCTTTCGGAACATGCTTCCACAACATCTACAACTACCGCACTTGATCTGCCAGTGTTTTAATTTATTCAACAGCAACAAGCACTGTAGAATCATTGTTCAATGCACAAGAAAGAAAAATGCAAGCAACTTTGGGAAAGTGGGAAATAAGTGAAAGACTGGGAATCATTTGACTTCACATTGTGCATAGTTTTCTGTTTGACCCTTTCTGTAAATATTTTTTAATACAGCACTAGATTTGCTATCTGATTTACTAGGAAATTTGTTCAGCATACTTTGCATTTAAGAGGTAAACAGTTTTTTCAAAATGTGTTTTTGAACCCCTATGAAGTACCTACTATGATGTCACTGATGTTAAATACTATGTGACTGATTGATGATTATATTGTTACTCCCTAATAAGTCGAGCAATGATGTGGAACTGTAAAATGGCAACTTTGAGCTGTGAGTCAGAGAAATGGGAGCCATGTACTAATAATTTTGATTAAGTTTATCATCTGTAAAAAGCAATGAGTGCTAACCAGTTTTAAAACAATTTAGAAAATATCATGTCATGTTCAAAGAGATATTTACAGTGAGCGTCAAACTTGAGAAAAGCATGCTATAACACCACACTAAACACTTACTTTCCTCATCGAAGGTTTTCTTCCAGATAGTGGGTTAAGTTGGGATAATTAAATCTAGAGAAAATGGTCATCCTGATCCTCTAGTAATATCAAGGTACTTATCATACTGAAAGCCAACCAACAATGAAATTTTATGCCAAATCAGTGTTTCGTGATAGACCATTCGTGATAGAATGTGCTGAATTTTAAGTAAATTTCTATCATTTCAATCAGTGAAAAGGCCCCCAACCACTACTGACTATTTCTTGAGATTGAAGCTTTTGGTGTGAAATGCCTCAAGCGAAGGTTGTGCCACTGCTAGGAGCCTTAGGAGCCCTTTGATAGTTTATTGGCTATTGAGGAAGCTTACTATTTATAGCATTGGGCCTATGTCCAGATTAGATTTGGTTTTCTAATTTGGTAATGGGATGTGGCAGGCTTTGTTTATGGATTACAGATTAGATACAGTACTTGTCAATAGGTACTGAGAACAACAAGTTATTTTCTTGTCTTTTCTTGTGAACCAATGTACTTAAAAGTTCAGAGCAAAATGGATACTTGTTTGTGGTATTGGCAATTAATAGTCAGTACCTATATATCCAAATTACTGTTTAATTTATGCAAATAATGCTGAAATAGTTCAATGAGTTTCTGTGCCAGATAATTTTGGATACATTTTATCCCTAGCCCCAAGCGATTTCGAGGTTCCATGGGGCGAAATATTTGGTGCAAAACCAAAGCACTAACGGTATATGAGTGGTAGTGTCTAGTGTGTCATCGAAATGTACCCTGTGGTAATGTGAAATAAACGATTTTATCCCCAATCTTCTAGCTGAGCTGACCCCTTGTGCTTTTTCGGAACGAAGTTTCTTGCTAGCTTACTCACGATCCCTTTTTAGGGATGCTTTTCTTGATGACATGCACATCACCTCAGCTTATTAGCACTGATAAACTCTAACTCTGACGATTGTTTGGTCTCAGAGTAGAGTGCCTGTTACCGTTAATCTCGATTGAGTTTTGATGTGACCCGTGACCGGATGCGTCGCTCACAGGATCCCCACGCTGGCCACCTTCGGCGGCTTCGCAGCGCTGACCGGATGCTACATCACCGACTGGCAGGTGGTCTGCGGGTACATCCCCTTCTACAACCAAAAATTCAAAGAGGACTCCAACGAATGATTTAATCAATTGTCTTTGTGTGACAGGGAAAACTTGTATGGTAAGTAATTCTTGTTTTAGATTGATAGTTTCACTGTTCTGTGTAGTTAGTTATTCGCTTTAATTTGGAAAAGACGGCCGATGACAATATCGCTGCGATGTCGCTTTTAGATGAATCAGTGGCGGATCCAGGGGGGGGCAAAACAGTGTCCGAAAATTTGTTGATTTGGGTGGGAACTGACATCCAAAGAAAATTATTTTGCACTCTCATCCCAATTTTTCAAGAGCTGTTTTCCACTCCCAGTTTTACTGAAAGCAAGCATTTGTGTGGATGGTTGTTTTACATCCTACAATCTGTCACACTTGTATACCTATAAACGTGCGCCATTGAACATCCTTTTCCACCCTTTTTGGGCCTTATATAACTGACAGTTTTCCACTCTTATCCCCCTTTTGGGTGAAGAATTCCCCCTCCGACACCTAAGCGAAAATACAATTTTGGGACACTGGGGCAAAATGGGCATTTGCCCCCCCCCCCCCCCAACGGCATAATTTTAACATCACGCCTATGGACGAGGCATGTAAAGAATCGATAAATTGTTATGGTTTGCCCCTCCCCCCCCCCAAAAAAAAAAACTGAGCTGGATCCGCCTCTGAGATGAATTGTAGTAAGTTCCTTAATTGTATCGGTATATTTCTTACCACTGGTAGGTAAGAAAGTTTGTTTACATTTTGTGGTACTACTGTAGTTAAATTTTACCGTATAATTCATGTATCATACGCGGTGTGGGGTGCAGCGTCGCCTCGGGGCAGGTCCGCTGAGCTCACCCTCCAAATCCAAATCCGAATCCAGTGTATTGATGTATCCACCAGCCCTCTCGTCGTGTACATAAAAGTATTAAAATACACCGACAAACAACATGTGAATCATTACGCAGTATGTATCCATAAAAAGGCTAAAATCAACGCAATAGCGAAACACTAAATACAAAGAGAAATAAGACATCTAAAACATCTTACCATCCTGCTGCCGACTATTTAGAAATCAATCGCACTATTCAGCGCCTCCACTGCCCTGTACACGAAACTCCAGTTGTAGGGCCAACCGCCAGGTGGCCTCTATTCGATATTTCCTCACGGGATAATGGCTCATCCATTTTGTCTCTGACCTTGGAAAAGTGACTTGGGCTTTTCGCAGATTCACTCCGCAACTTGACAATCAAAACGTTTCGTATTGCATCAAAACGCATATAGTGCGTGGGCCTATAATGCCCACGCTTGGCAGTGAGGCCCTAATGATCTGCAATCACTTTGCACAATGCGCATTCTTTTAGTCAGACTGGCTCCGCGTTCGATGTCTCTCGGACGACGAAGATTCTACGTCGACCGGCCAATCCCGTCCAAGGTCAGCGGGGGCTCGGCTGCGGTTATGGAACGTGATTGGCCGGACGGCGTAGAATCTTCGCCGTCCGAGAGACATCGAACACGGGCTAAGTTTCCCGTTTATAGCGTATATTTATGGTATAATGTAGTCACATTTACTTTGCTTTAGATCGAGATGAAGAGACTTTGTCTATTAGCGAATGTGAATTTCCCACTGATAACGATCACTGTTTGTTCACAGAAACCGTGTCGGATACCGCATCACACGTCGGCGTCTTGGCCCTACGAGCTGCAGCCACCCGAGGCCGTCCGGCGACGGCCAACAGTAGGTCAAACATCCGTCAGCAGTGAATGACACAACAGGCTCCGATGGCCTGGCCGGGTATCTATTCGATTGACGGTTTTCCGCAATATTGTGCTACCATCGTCTCACCATGTGTGCGAGTGTGATTGGCTGCGCATTTTTAACAAATAAAATGCGTGGTGAAATCGGATTGTTTGCTTTAACAATGCTCTGATGTGGATGGTCTTGCAAACACACAAAGAAAAAAATGACAAGAATGCCGCACACAGGTACCGTGACACAAAAGTTATTTATGACGTACATTTTTTTTACCGGCAAGGCTTAATTATTCCGTTGAAATGTGGGAAAGTCTTAACCCTCGCATGTGTGCGGCGTTTTCCAGCTTCTAATGTGTAGGGGGGGGTCGGTTGGACCCCCCCCCCCTTGCCGTTTGGCCCCTGATCGAGCTAGAGCTTCGCGGAAAAAACGAGCGTGTTGCCCGTGACGAGAGGAAGCCAATGATACCCAATTTTAAGGTCCTAGGTCATTGGTTGACCTTCCAGGTCAGGTCAATGACCCAAAGTCGGGAAAATCGGGACCTATTAGAAAGTCGTAAAGTGTGGCTGCTAAGGGATTTTTCGGGGTGCTGATCACGAATATCGTGTTAGTTTTGATCACAGATGATGTCTTTAAGCATTTAGACCAGGTCGGGTCAGGTCAGGTCAGGTCAATCAGTAGGCGTCGTGACGGGTATTCGTAGTACGTGTCAACCGCCTCTGACAGCTTCGTAACATGTTACGAAGGCACCAAAACTACTTCGTAAATGTTCAAATGGTTGCTAAATTCGAATTCAGCTCCAAAAACTAGCCTAGAAACATGTAAAACTCGAAAAGGTGAACCGAGGTCACCCGAGGTCACCAAAGGTCAATGACCTGACCTGACCTTCAGGTGACCTTGACACCCACCCTAATGCATGAGAGCAACATCAAATCACATGTTTGAACGTTTGAAACCACGAAAAGCTTGCAAACGCGCGGCTAATGCGAGCCGACGTACGCCGAATCGCGATTCCGGCCAAACATGGTCTCGGAAAAGAGGTCTCAGGTCAAAGGTCATTTGGGTCAGGGTCATGAAATTTTCAGGGTAGGTGTCAAATTGATCAATGCGAGGGTACTGAAAGTTTCGTCGCGATCGACCGCTTTTTACGCGAGTTATGTGCGAAAAACCATGGGGGGGGGTCCATCCGACCCCCCTACACATGTGCGAGGGTTAAACCGCGCCCCGTAGGGCTACCGGCGGACCCTACCACCCGTAGGGGGGGGGGGGGCCTGAGATCTCGGAAATTTACCGGCCGATTTTCAAAATTCAAACGGCGTTCGATAGCCCCACCCGGGAACTACCTTGTGACCAAATTTCATTGACCTAGGTCAAACCGATGACGTCACAGGTCAGGTCAAAGGTCGGATTTTCACCGTTCACAGGCATTTCAAGAAATGTATTGTGAAATCGAGTAAATTGGTAAGTTATTGAAAACCGTCGATTGTATATTGTTCGTCAAACACATACTTCGCTATCTGAGGTCACTGATGCCAGGTCAGGTCACAGAGGTCAGGTCACGAGGGGGGTCACAATATGAAGGTGTCGTGTGATACATGTTTTATGGTCCATTTTACATGACAAATGCCATTATGTGGGTCAGGCAGCCTTTGGGGCCAGCTTAGGTCACGTTTTGGTGAACGTCAGGTCAAGGTCAGGTCATAATAGGTCAAATTTTAAAGTTAATATTTTTGCATAAAATGGGTATCGATTCGATGCAGCTCGTCACGGGGAGTCCAATGGTGGTCTTTGTTTGGCCCTACGTGGTCTAGAATTGCCAAAAAAAATGAGTTTGAAATTTTGACGTCATCATTTTTGAACAGTTTTTTCGCTATAACTTGGCGAAAAAAGAAGATATCGATCTGAAATTGGGTATGTAGATAGAAGACGGTAGGTACTATCACATATGTTCCGGTTTTTTCGAAACTCAAACTTTTTGGATTTTTTGGCTAATATATCCAAAAAATCGCATTTTTTATTTTTGGGGGTCAAAACTCAAGAATTTTAAAAATCCGAGATAGCAGTTCTGTAGCCCTGTCAATTCTACATCTTTTATTTCTTGATCGTTTTTCTGTATCTTCAAAGCTGTAGGCCTGACAGCTCTTCTCGCGAAGGTCTTTTTCGGTCGAATATGGCAGAACATGACGTCATTCTGACGTCATTTGTGGCCAACTTATCATAGCCTCTGGAAAAAAAATTTTGGTCAATATGTGTAAAATTGATGCCCGGAGGGGTCTTGAAAGTTTGGTGGCGATATATCCAGCCGTTTAGGAGATATCGCCGGAAAAGGACAGGGGGGCCGTTTCGGCCCCCCCCCCCGCCTACGGGGCGCGGGGTGTGGGACTTTCTTCGACTTTGTCATCTTTGCCCGTGCTAGTTCCTTTTGCGATTTTTTGTTTCTAATTCAGGCGATACCTCTATAGCAAGATTACTTTTCTATAGATCACCTCACTCTATCACACCCCCACACCTGCACCCTTCTGTGCCTCTCACGTTTTAGCAAAGTCATTGAATCTTGTCATTTGTCCTATGATATACAATGTTACATTCGCGCACCGAAGAAGGATGAAGAAGGGTGTGAAGAAAAAAAGAAGGGTGTGATCCGTCGACTGTTTCGTGGAACGTGTTTGAAATTTGAATCTGTTTTTTTTTTTCCTGGTCAGATAGTGCTGTTCAGTGGTATCATCTGTTTAAATTTGGAAATTGGCATTATTTAAGTACAGAGGCACGGCAAATCGGTAAACGTTAATGCACGGAAATCCGTGGGCAAAAATTAACATACCGAAGTTAAGCGACCGCAAATTTTGTGGAGCGACTGCTGCCACGGTAGGCAGCCGCCAATACAGTACGCCATTCCGCTGCGAGCAGGACGGTGAGTGCGGACCCTGCGCCGCGGACCGCGGCTCAGGTTCTTCCCACACGGTTCGTCGGAAGGTCATCTCAGGCTCAAAAGAAACGATATATACCATTCGAAAGCTTACGGTGAGCTGAATCCAAAAATGTATTTTTTATCAAAATCGATCGATGGCCTTTTTTGAAAATTGCGTTTTTCTAAAAACTTAATAATCTTTTATTCAACGGGCTGTCCCGGACATTCTTGAAAACATAAGCATGTATTTTTGAGTTCCAGTGAAAGCTGAACGCCAAAAGAACAATATTTAGCGAAGCAATATTTCCAAACATTAATATGCGTCTCCCACAGCCGAAAATAAGGCGCAATCACACAGCTCAGTGTCATGATGGACCAAAGTTAGCCACACAGAATCGTGAAATGACCCTTATCGACTCGCAGACCCGGCGCTCTCGGCCCGCCTGACCGGCCACGGAAAGAACGTTCGGCTCTCGTTCTACTAAACAAATGTCAAAGTTGTCAGTTTAACTGTCCACGTCGCTATTAAAGCTATTCAGGATACCTGTGAAGAAAATTAATTGTTCTGTCATATTCACATCATGTATTAATTTGCATCTGTTCATGTCTACTTTGCTCAATTGAGCTTGGTATCATGCCCATATAAGGAAAATTGGCCGCGCTGAAATGTCAGAGGCTGCACCGGCCTCAGCTCGGGTGGAGTGGGGGTAGCGCCCGGCGGGGCAGGGTAACCTTTGACCGGACGCAAGGCCGAGCAGCTGTCACCAGTACAGCCTCTGACAGTGAAACCCCGCTCACTTCCCCTGCGCGGGCACTGATCGCAGCTGGATGGAACAAAACATGTATAAGAAAAATGTAAATTAAAGCATGTTGTAAATCAAGCAGAACAATGAATTTTCTTCCCAGGTATCCTGAATAACTTTAATAGCGATGTGGACAGTTAAAGTGGCAAATATTACATTTGTTTAGTAGAACGAGAGCCGAACGTTCTTTCCGTGGCCGGTCAGGCGGGCCGAGAGCGCCGGGTCTGCGAGTCGATAAGGGTCATTTCACGATTCTGTGTGGCTGACTTTGGTCCATCGTGACACTGAGATGTGTGATTGCGCCTTATTGTCGGCTGTGGGAGACGCATATTAATGTTTGGAAATATTGCTTCGCTAAATATTGTTCTTTTGGCGTTCAGCTTTCACTGGAACTAAAAAAATATATGTTTATGTTTTCAAGAATGTCCGGGACAGCCCGTTGAATAAAAGATTATTAAGTTTTTACAAAAACGCAATTTTCAAAAAAGGCCATCGATCGATTTTGATAAAAAATACATTTTTGGATTCAGCTCACCGTCAGCTTTCGAATGGTATATATCGTTTCTTTTGAGCCTGAGATGACCTTCCGACGAACCGTGCCCAGAGCAGTGCCGCCGCCACCCGGCCGGTGTCCCGCTGGCCGGGTGTGCCGCGGGCGGCGCCGCGGCGCCTGTTTTGACAGCTGGGTCGGCGGGAGGCGCCGCCGCTCCCGGCGCCGTCATTGTCGGCGTCGATGGGGAGCGACCGTCGCCATTGAACGGCTCGAGAGGCCGCGTGGGAACGGCTGACGTGCCGGTGCCGCCAATGACAGAGTGACATGTCGCCAGTCGTCACCGCGTCCAGCCTCCTCGCAGGGAGCGACTGGAGTGTATGCAGTTGCTCGTGCTACAGCTGTTTTAGGCATGCAACTACTGATGCGATGCCACGCATTTGGCGGGGGTGGGGGTGGGGGGTGTTAGGTGTTCCTATTAGTTTCTCGGAAACTCGAGCACATTTTCTTTTCGTTATTGCCTAATTAGAGCAGCCCTTCGAACCTTATGGAAACAAACGAATAGAATTAAATGATGTTTAAGTTATTTGTTTGGTAACAGGAACCTATCCAATAAAAAAACGATCCTCAGTTTATACATTTTGATGCATTCCAATCGGCTCCAACTCTGCACCTGGCTCTCCGCCCCAGAAACTAAGCCTCTGCCGGCTTATTTCTCCTCCTAGGTATCTGCATTCCGACTTCCGTTACCCGATTTCTGCCTCCGGGCTCCGACACATGTCTGAGTCATCTGCTTTGCATCATCATCCCATATCTTTGGTCCTGACTCCGTTCCTGAATCTCAGTCCCGTTTCGAGGTCTTCGTCGCGGCTCAGCCCAGGACCTGGCCACGTTCACAACTATTTCCCGTTTCCTGATCCTCAGTCCCGGCCATGCTGTCTGCTAAAT